ATTGTATATAATAAATAAACGATAAAAAAGTAGAATTTTTAATCTTTAGGTATAAAATAAATAAATAAATTATCCTAAAATATGATACAAGTTACAAGGAAACAAAAAATAAAGGAACTTACTAATCTATAAATTAAAAGAACAACTTTTCAACAAATTCATCCTAAAAAAAAGTAAATTAATGAAAATGTTATACAATCTATATTTAATTGGAATTAAATCGTATTCAATCAATTGGTGAACGTTTTTAAGAATAGAAGAAAGAAAAAAACTATAAAAGAATAACAATATGTAACATTTTCTATTTAAAAAAAAATTAATCATAAATAAGATGGATAAATAGTTAGAAAAATATAAATAAAAATGGTAAAACAGCAAAATTAATAAAAAAAACTTATTTTGATGATAAATATCCAACACGAAAAGAAATTGACAAATATATGAGTTAATTGAAGTTTTTAATTTAATTGAAGCAAACTATAATGAACTAAAGATTTATTAAATTCTGCAAATCAGTTAATAGAAAAAATGAAAATTAAATAAAAATAACACTAGAAAAGTAACAAATGGAAACAGATAACTAGAAAAGGTGCTAACATAAATATTAAAACTGGGAGAAGGCACGATATTGTAGAATCAACTGAATAAAAAAGAATCTTAATTCATAAATTAGGTCTTTTTATTCCTGAATTTTAAGTCTTAGGAAATTTATTGTGAACGATGAAGGAAAAAAAAAACTCAAAACGTAGTGGAATTAGAAATGAATCACTTTTAAAAAGAAAAAGTTGCAATCTGCTCAATAAAATAATTGTCTGCTTTTAGTTATAAATAATTGTACGCTTACATTAATAAACAATCTCCTTCTTATATTTGTTTTTTATAAAAGCTGACGTTTTTAATGAAAGAGATGTGATTCCACATGAATCAAAATTTAAAAATGATACTGCACTTTAAAAGAATCAGAATTTATTCAAATGAAAAATGTTGTTTTATCAAATAAATATAAAAGTTGATAAAAAACGTTTTAAATTGTAATAATAATGTATTATCCAAAATTATAAAATAGTAATTTGTCATAATAAATCAAGAACAATGAAAATGGAAAAACTAAAGAAGATTTATAAGAAAATATAACAAGTCAATTCACTACAGGCAGAAGCTTCAAGTTCCTTAACTTGGACACCCAATTGACAACACTCCAGAAACGATTAATAACAGAAGAACCTTAAGGATGCATCAAATGATGATCGGTCCGGTAAAAATCTTTTTTTTTTTAAAAATTCCCTATTGTGCAAGAGCAAATTACGGTATTGAAAATGCGACAGAAATCCGACAAATTGATAGGGTGTCAAATTCTCTGATAGTTCTCGAGTCAGGGGTAAAATTATGTTTACTAAATTCTTCTGGTTATTTTTTAAGTGTTAAAATTCAGCTTAACAATATTCCAACTTTATTATTGAATTAAAAATAGCCATATATGAATCGTTTTTGTATTCCAATTAATAATTTGTACTTCTATTTGTTTTTTTTTTTAACACAGTATTTGAATATATTTTTCTTTTTATTTCTCTTACACCTTCTGTTCACTGATATGCATGTGCAATGCATTTTCCCCAGGTAAATCAAAGAAAAACGATATCGATATTACAACTATGATGAACACTATAAATGGAAGTTTACCTAAAAATAATTTTATTCGAATTGACCACCGTCTTCAGTGATTACTTAAGATAATCTCTTATGCCATTGTCTGATGCCAGCACGAATCATTTTAAGAGGCAATTTGTCACATTTCATGCAATCAAGAAGCTCTGAGAGTGTCCCAACTTCTGTACTTAGCATTAACTATAGATTCTAGAAATCTCTCAAACATCCCTATTGCAGAATTGTTTTGAGCTTTCAGCAATAATTCTCTCTAGTATTAATATCTTTCTGAAAGACATTTTTAATACTAGTAGCAAATATATATATATGACTAATTTCATGTAACAGAAGCTTTTCCTGTTTACAAAAATAAAAAAGTCTTTATGTATAAAATANACTACAGTACAGAACCCGTTATCCGGAATTCAGAAAACCGGAAAACCAAAAAACCGGAACGAAATTCGATAAATTTCCCCCCCCCCCATTTTTTTAAAAAAAAAAAATTTTTTTTTCCTTATGAGATTTTAGGATTTTTCTTTCTTTTTTGAAAGATGTTTACCTTACCATCATTTTGGAAATAGTCATTAGTGTATTACTTCATCGTTTTTTCCCCTTTTTAAGATTATTTCCAATTTTGTTTTGTTTTTTTAGTTGGGTTTAACAATAAAAAAACGGCTTTTTGTAGCGATTCAGAAAACCGGAAAAATCAGTTATCCGGAATAGCGATGGTCCCGATCGTTCCGGATAATCGGTTCCCTACTGTAGTAGCAAATATATACATATGACTAATTTCATGTAACAGAAGCTTTTCCTGTTTACAAAAAGTCTTTATGTATAAAATAGAACCCTATATAAATTTTTAATTATAAATGTAAGAATTTTTTTTGAAATATACATATAAAAGAATTCATATTCTGATATTATTGGCGATATTTTCCTGCTCTAAAAATATTTGTATTGTTAACTTTTTTTAAAATTTTATCGATTTGGAAATTACTTTCTATAATATCAATCAGTCATTGTGGAACTTTTTTTATTCTCAAAGGAAAGTAAAAAAAATAATAAATAAAAATAATCAAGAGCAATTTTTTCATCTCTGATAAGGGAAAAATACGTTTTTTGAAAATAATTTAGCAAGAAAGGAAAGAAAGAAAAGTTCAGCAGAAAAAAAGTCTTACCAAATATTAAACAGATAAAAAAAATCTAACATTTTTGCTTCCCAAATAAAAATCTGACTGCAAGAACCCTGTAATGTTGTTCTGCGCCAATGTCGCCACGGATCCAAACTTTATAGTGTAAAGGATTAGAACGGGGCCACTCTTCTGGCTTAATAAATTTCGAACAATCAACATGGTGCCAAGCCTGTGTTGTTTCGGTGTTGCAGTGCAGAATCTTGCAAGAATATCCATTAGATTTTTTGATACTATCTGTCAGCGAGTGGCAATAAATGTGTAGCCGATACTTCCTTTTTTTAATATTCAGCATTGATTTTTACTTCTTTATAGATGAATTGCAGAGGAAATTTTCCGTCATTTGACACTGCAGCCCAAACCATTACAGGATTTTTGTTCTGAAAGTGTAGCACAGTTTGTACACTTTTAAGAATATCATCGAAGGTTACTGTTTATACAACATTATTTTTAGTATTATAACTTTGCTTTATGCAAAATATTTTCTCATCAGAAAAAAGTATTCTGTCAACACTTTTGTTACTGTGCTGGTTCAGCAATTTCTTACATTTTTGTATAGTTATCAAACCTTGAACTTTTCTTTTGTGATAAGGTCAAATAACCAGGTCTTCTTTTATTATAACTTGCATGGTTCTCGAATTCACGTTCTCTTCTACAGCCATTTTATTAACTGAGAGTAGTGGATTGCTTTGTATCGTTTCACAAATTTCTTTAATGCGCTCTTTTGTACGCACTGAGAGTGGACGACCAGACCTGGGTCGATCTTTACATCTATTAGTATCCTATCATCGATTTATAGCTCTTCATATAAATGTTCTATTAAATCCAAGAGATTTTAATTGCTTTAAGATTCTACCTACAGAAAATAGACAACTGAAAAGCTGTTTAACAATCAAACTTTCCGATTTCATCTTTAAATTTATTCTAAATGTTTTGCTTTAAACAAAAATCGTCTGCACTTATAGAAAGTGCCACTCACAGGAATAGTGAGAGACAAATTGTTTTACTAAATGATTAAAATAAATTCCAATTTTTTTGAGTGTCACAGTATTTAGTAGCCACCCTGTAGTTTAAAATTTTGGATAATTTTTCCCAGTTTTCTGGATACCATATAAATGGTTCTGTATTGTATGTGTTTTAAATGATTCCAAGCATAAAAAAATGTAAATATATATATATTTTTTTTATTCAAAACAAAGAGATTTGTTTATTTTAACTGTTAAAATGTCACTGGAAAATAAGCATAATCAGATCGGGTTATCATGTCCAGAGATGGAACTTGGTACTTTATATATAATCATTATAATAAATATATAATAATGAGCATTATATATAATAATGCATGTAATTTTTTGGATCTTATTTTCCCCCCCATTTAGATAATTTTATATAAACACTGAATCACATGTAGAATTTTACTTAATCGGTCACAACATGAACTCTTTAAATGTTAGTTGGATATTACAAATTTGAAAATGATAATAACATAGAGTAAAATACTAATTTTTATGTTTATATAATAATAAGAAAAAAATTTTAAAAAAATTACAACTAGTTAGGAAACATAAAGTATACTTTGTGAATATAAATACACATATTTGTATGCGTAAATGCATATACATAAACTCGCAAACAGGCATACAAAATGAACACATATACATTAAAAATAAATAAACAAATATTTACTAATGATACAGAACACTCATGATAGAAGAATATCTATTAGCAGACTTTACGTGAAAGATGCACAAGTTTATCGCAAAAATGCAACAAAAAAAACTTTTGTAAAATATAAATTACATTTAAAAACTATTTTTTTATATCTTATTTTATAACCGTCGTTGAACAGCGGATCCAATTTTTGGGTTTACGACTACTAATGACCAACTCCGAAGCCTAGTAATTTTGAACCCAATTCAGAAGACAAGAAAACTCTTACATCAAGTATTGGGAGAAATTTGTCTTCATGGAGGACTTTTTGATGAAACCAACCCGCATTTGCGTTACATGGAGAGGAAAACCTCCCACAGTTAGTCTTATGGCATGGGGATTCTATACCCATGATCCGTCTACCGCTGAGGATATTTTACGTCAGCACTGTGGTCGGTGCATAGATGCGGAATTCGTATCGACAAGCCATCGTTGGGATTCGAACCCGGTTCCCCCCATTAGAAGGGGAACACTCTATCCCCTGAGCTATTACGGCTATAGGGATACAGTCAAATATTAATGCACAGTGCTTCTCGATATTAAAAATCTTGCAAATCGGTTAGTAGGACCAATATTATCGTCAGTCACAACTCGGAAAAGCAGTCGATAGCACAGGGTTCTCAAAACTGATAAGCGATTGTGGATGTTATTTTCTATACATTTTTATCAGCAGAATGGATTTTCAAATGCTTGTCAAGATTCCCTTTAATTTTACAACTGTAGCCACACTTTTCACAAACATGAGGTCTATTTTCTGAATGAATAGATCTCATGTGAGATCTGAGGTTATTTCTAAATCTGAAAGTCAAGTTACAGAGATTGCAGAGGAAAGGCCTCTCTCCCGTGTGTATAACTAAATGTCGTTTAAGGGTCTGAGCTAAAGTGAATGTTTTATCACAAATCGAACATTCGTGACGAACGTTAGTGTGCTGAGTTAAGTTATGCTGTCGCAGAGAATATAAGTAACCAAAACTTTTGTCGCAAACATCACACCTAAAAGGTTTTATTCCCGTGTGAATGACTTCATGCGTCTTTAAAGAGCTCGAAGATCGAAATTCTTTGTGGCAAACATGGCATAAATATAATTTCTTCTTGGTTCGGCTCATTAAATGAGTTTCTTCACTCGTGCCTTTGTCGACAGATATTATGGATTGATTATTTTCATCAGCAGATTTGTCTACTTTATATTCATTAGGATTAAAATGGGTTTTCATATGTGGATAGAGATTTCCCTTTACCTTACATCTAAACCCACAGATCTCACAAACAAAGGGTTTCTCGTCGGAATGAGCAGACCTGTGATGAGAGTTGAGGTTATTTCGGAACTTAAAAGTCTTGTTACAAACATTGCAAGAATAAGGACGCTCTCCCGTGTGAACGAGTAAATGCGCCCGAAGACCAGCAAATACACTGAATGCTTTAGAACAAAACGGACAAATGTGCGGTTTAATGTTAGTGTGCATGGTCAATTTATGTTTTAATACATTATGTGAATAACCAAACTTTCTGTTGCAAACATCACACGCAAATCTTTTGACTCCAGTGTGTGTTCTCTCATGTCTTTGTAAATAGTCTATGGATTTAAATCCTTTGTTGCAGATTCTGCAACCATACGGTTTTACCTTAGCTTCGTGACGAAACACATGATTTTTCAATTCTTTTCTTGAAATGAAAATTTCATTGCAAATTGTACAATAATAAGACGGATCGCAGATGTTTCTGCTTTCATTATCTTTTATATTTGTTTTAGTTGCATAACTCTTGCCGCAAACTATGTAATTTTGCAAATTAACTTCTAAACCATTTTCGAAAATGCAAGGTTTAGGATTACATAAATTTTTACAAAAGTTTCTTTTTTCGTGATTTTTTAAATAAATTCTAGTAGCAAAACTTTTGTTACAAACTTTGCAAGTAAAAGGTTTTTCGCCAGTGTGACTTCTCACATGCGTTCGAAGATCATAAGAATAAATAAAACTTTTATTACAAAATTTACATTTATGTGGTTTATTAACTTCATGAGTAAAGCGATGACTTGTAAGTAGATGCTTAGCCGTAAAACCTTTCTTACAGACTTCACAGGTGAAGAACTTTTTTTTATCTAAATAATTTTGTTCTTTTAAAAATTTGGAATCAGCAACATTAGTTTGGGAAACTTCACACGTAGACGATGTTTCCGTCGTTGTTTTATTGGTATCACTATTCATTTTCAAGTCTCATAGTTTATAAGTCAGAGGCACGGACAAATATTTAAATTAAGCTTGTTTCGGAAAAAATGTTTTATTAGAGTAGAAAGCCATACAAATCAATAGTTTCTCATTTAAGACGATTAGCTTCTAGCTTATCAGATAACATAAAAGATGAAGTATTTTGGTAGCCGTACTAACAGGCATGTTTTCTTATGACGTCACAATACTATATTTTAAGTTTAACTGATAACCGTAAAATTCCAGCCTCCATGAAGGATACAGGATGCTCTTTGTTTGCCAAGCTCTATAATTATCTTCTATCGATTTTATTGTATTGTGAGGTTATGTTTTTTTGGCTCATATTTTTTTTCCGTTTCAAACTACAAAAATTTACGAATTAGAATATAAACATTTTTTTTGACAAAATATATTTCAACAAAATAATATATATATTAAGGACAGAGGTGTTACGTTGCGCACAATTCGCTAGATTTAGAGGGTACAATTTTCCAAGGCGACAATTTCACACAGGCCCAATTTGTCGCAAGGGAAATTCATAACGTGCACAATTGGAGAGTAGACAATTCATCGCACTGACAATACGACGTTTGCATAATTCTCTGAGGTTAAAATTCGTTGCACAATTCGACAAATTGTGTTCATGACAAATTGTCTCTACTATGAGTTCTGCCCACAATGAATTATCACTATGACAAATCGCCCTAGCAAAAATTGTACGTTATCGCCTTGATCGCCCATGCCAATTTTTAAGTCTAAGCAGAAATATTTTTGACACTCCCCTACATTAATGATAATAATAATAAATAAGGGTAAAATAATTTTTTTCTTCATAATTTTAAAAGTTATCAAAGTCTACAAATATGTATTTTTTTAAATGTAAAAATGGGGTTCAAACTACTTATATAATGCACTTTTATTTAAATTCGATAGCGCGAAAAAAATATCAATAGCAATCAAATATTATATGGCTATATTATCTTTACATTGTTATCGACTTATCATTTATGCCTGGTATTCTCAAATGAAAAGAAAGTATTGTTAGCATACAATTATAAATCTTGGCTTTTTTTTTATTTTGAAATTATTTTTTTAATAATGATAAAAAAAATTGGATAATAAGGCATAACATTTTGTCTTCTTTCATACTTTTACACATAAAAATAAAAAACGTGAGCGAAATATTGCAAACAGTTTGAAATTGCTCAAATATATACACATTGGATTATTCAGATGTTTCAACTTGAAAATTTCGTTCTTGATTAAATCAATACATTTCTTAGTTTCTTTCAGCCACCTCTGTTGATAATTTGTTTTAATAGATTGTTTCACACAGTGCGGTCTTGAATAATCGGTTAAAATTAAATGAATAAAGGTAGAAGCACTTCCAAAACTCATCATAATTGTTCGACTATACACCATTAGATTTCCATACATTCTGATTTCTATAACTTTTTCAAAATGATTGCTCCTGATATTTTGCTCAAAAATACTAGTGATTTTTACCAACCCAGCATTTAAATTTTGTAGGCTAGATAGACAAAATATTTCTAATTAAGTAGACATTTACATCATTGATATCTAGTAGACATTTACACCATCAATAAAAGAAACTAGTTAAAATAAATTGTACAATTAAATGTAACAACAAACGACATTAATTTCACGTTCATCTAATTAAAATTATCGAAAAGATTGATCACTAAAATTTAAAAATGAAAATCAATGTGACAAATGTCTTGATGTCTTAAAAATAAAGTAAAAATTTGCCACTTTTTAAAAATTTCTAAATTTTGTAGGTTATTAGTAAAAAAACTAAATACAGTAATATAATTTTAATTTGCAAATATTTGATAAATTTTAAAAATATTACTATTTCATGAAAAACAGTAAGAAAGCGAAAATAAACCATTTAAAATATAAATATAATTCGCGATCGCAACGCTCGAGTACGCCCTCTAGCCGGAGCCTGAAAATATCGGGCATTAGTTCCGTCATAACCTTTGGCAATTCGCGATCGCAACGCTCGAGAACGCCCTCTAGCGGGAGCCTGTAAATATCAGACATTAATTTATCACGTTTTCATTCAGTTCCATCAGAATCACTGGCAGAGTTGGTCGCCATTTTCTTTGCACGAAATAAGAAGCAAAATTTCCCTAAGGAAAAAGCCGAAAAACTTGAAAAAACTCTCCAGAACATTGTTAAATCTTTCAGAAACAGAACACGCCAAATATTTGATGAAAATTCCTCAATAATTTTCAACTTTTATTATCAATAAACTTGCAACTGATAACTTCCGATTTCGCTATCGCATACTGTTACAGATGTGTGTTTTAAGGTAAAATGCATTTCTTCTGTCTTCAATTCATTAAAAATTTAAGTGAAGTCAACATTGCTTTCGTCATTCCAATAAATAAATGGGAATTCAGAACGTCAAGAACAGCAATTGTTATAGAATATTCTTCTTTGTTATAGAACGGTATATATTTCTGTATCTATATAATTCGGAAAACAACAATAAAGAATCATCCAAATTACTTGAAATAGTGTCATTTGTGCTGATGATTAATAAATTTTTTATCGTTTTCTTGGTAAGTATTTTTTAGTTTTGAAAGAATAGATAATTTCAACTAGAATTCAGCTGTTCTGTTTTTAAGCTACATATTCAAATTCATATCGAGATCTTACAATTATAAAATTTTGATGTGTGGTATGTTATCTAAAAGTAATAAAGGGATAATCTATGTACATATTATTTGAAAATAAAACTTTCAAACGAAGAACATTTCATTTGGAATTCTGCGGATTTATAAAGAAGGTAAGTGTCATGATTTTTATAATAAAAAATTAGCTTGTAAATTTTTTTTTCTTATTTGATGATAGTTCTCTACAGAATGCTTTTTTACGCCTGATTAAGAACTATATGAATAAAAAGAGAAACAGTATGGAATTTTTTATTTCAATATGAGGAATTTTTAAAATCGTTTTTCTTTATCCTAAGAATTCCTTATTTTACGTTTTTTAGTTTATAATTTTTTGATAAAAATTGTTGTTAAAATAATTGTTTTGAAAAATTAAATGGTATAAAATTATGTGCTAATGTATACTTCTTACATGTTCTAATATTTGAAGTAATATGATTCAAAAAAGTATGGAAAAAAAATTCGGTACTAACGTAATAACGCCACCGCAACTACAGATTTGGCGGTTTTTAAGTGCCACCAATCTACACCAAAATTTTTGCGACAAATCATAAAATAAAACACTTGATTTAAAATCAAAGTAGTTTATCGCATTTCGGTGGACAATGGGCAAAATATTTCGCTCCAGAAAAAATAAAATTGCATCTTGTTCGATTTTTGGCAAATCCCAAAGACGCATTTTCGTAGCACTAAAAAATGGTAACAAAAATTGAAGAACAAATCATTTTCGTATTCTTCTGATTTATAAAGCAGGTAAGTGTTAATTTTTATAATATAAAAAATTTTACTTTTAAGTAATTTTTTTCTTATTTGATAATAGTTTTCTATAGAATGGTTTTCTACGTCCGATTATGAATCAAAAAAGAAAAAACATGAAAGTTGTTTATTTTAATGTAAGGAATTTTTAGAAATGGGTTTTTTTTTGCTTTGTATCGTAAGCATTCTTTATTTTGCGTTTTTTAGTTTCTAAATAATGATTTTTATTGAAACTTGAAATTTTTTAATAAAAATTGCTGTCAAAAAACCTTTTTTACTAAATTAAATTTCATAAAATTGTGAGGCTTATGTATTTGTTCATTTTAATCTTTGAACTAATATGATTCTTAAAACTATTGAATGTAAGGTTTAAATAGGCCTTTTATGTCATTTCATTAAATTTAGTGAAACTATTTTTCGGGCATTAGGTTTTAACTCTTATAAGAATATACCTATTTTTTTCTGATTATGTGCTAATATTTTTCCGATGTGTTTTGGATATTCCTTCTGTAAAAAAAAGAGATGCCATTTTGTTTTCGTTTGCATAAGAAGGGATATTAAAAATTTTTCTTTTTTAAATTTAATTAGCCACGATAAAAAAGGAACGTTGCAATGCTACACGCTACATTAAAGACGTCTCTAGAGTAAATGAATGACTGTTCATATAGAAATCGCAGGTATTAGTCTCATACAACAACGCCCCCTATAGTTCGCTGCGATCGCGAATAACGGATGCCATTTTCTTAGCAGCATATACGAAGCAAAATTTCCCTAAGGAAAAGGTAGAAGAACTTGAAAAAACTAACCAGAACATGCCAAACATTGAAGCAGAACACGCCAAGCATTTGAAGAACAATTTCTCAATAATTTTTACCTTTCTATTGCCAACAACATTAATTCCGTTTCATGATCTTTTGCTGTTTCAGATGTGTGCATTACGGACATTTTTTTTGTTGTCTTCAATTCGTTACAAATTAAAGTAAAGTCAACATTGCTTTCGTCATTCCAATGAATTAATGTGAATTCAGAACTCACACGGAACTGTATTCGCGATAGCAACGAACTATAGGGGGCGTTGTTGTATGAGACTAATACCTGCGATTTCTATATGAACAGTCATTCATTTACTCTGGAGGCGTCTTTAATGTAGCGTGTAACATTGAAACGTTTCTTCTTTATCGTGACTAATTAAATTTAAAAAAGAAAAAAATTTGATATTCTTCCTTATGCAAATGAAAACAAATGGCATCTATTTTTTTTTAGAGAAGGAACATCCAAAACACATCGAAAAAATATTTGTACATAAACGGTAAGAAATATGTATATTCTTATAAGAGTTAAAACCTAATACCCGAGAAATAGTTTCACTAAATTTAATGATATAACGTGAAAGGCCTATTTAAACTTTACATTCCATAGTTTTAAGAATCATATTACTTCAAAAATTAAAATGAACAAAAAGTATACATAAGCCTCATAATTTTATGAAATTTAATTTTGTAAACAACGTTTTTTGACAACAATTTTTATCAAAAAATTTCAAGTTTCAATAAAAATCATTATTTAGAAGCTAAAAAATGTAAAATAAAGAATGCTGACGAAACAAAAACAAAAAAACAATTCCTTCTTGTCGACATTTTTTAGTGCT